GTCGCACCAGAATCACGCCCACTACTCACAATCAACACACACCGTGGGCTATATCAGTACAACCGTCTTCCGTTTGGCATCAAAACTGCCCCTGCAATCTTCCAGCAGTTTATGGACACCATCCTCTCTGGCACTCCATGTATGGCCGCATAACTAGATGATGTGCTGATTGTCGCTGGCTCTCCCGCTGAACTGCACACGCCAATTGATATGGTGCTCAAACGTATCCAAGAAAATGGTCTCCGCCTCCGTCCTGAGAAATGTCAATTAGTGTTGGAAACAGTGAAATACCTTGGGTTCATTTTCGACGCCTCTGGTCGCCATCCTGACCAGGAGAATATCCGAGCTATACAGCAGATGCCGCCCCCTAAAGATGTCCCATCCTTACGCTCCTTTCTGGGGCTGATCAGTTATTATTCGACATTCCTGCCTGCGCTACACGACATCCGGCCTCCGCCTAATCGGTTGCTTGGAAAAGAACGTCCCCTGGTGTTGGTCAGAGGAATGTGAGAAAGCTCTCTGCAAGCTGAAAACCATGCTCAGCTCTGATATGCTGCTGACCCACTACGACCCGAAATTACCGATTATTGTGGTAGTTGACGCCTCCAACTGTGGAGTCGGTGCCATCATCCTATACGTCTTCCCAGATGGATCAGAGAAAGCCATTATGCATGCGTCGAAATCGCTAACTCCAATAGGACAGCGATACGGCCGAATAGAGGAAGAAGCGTTGGCATTGGTGTTTGCGGTTCGGCGGTTCCACAAAATGCTGTATGGCCGCCTTTTCACTCTACTCACCGATCACAAACCACTGCTCGCCATTTTTGGTTCAAAGAAAGGTGTTCCAGCACACTCTGCCAACGGCCTGCAAAGATGGGCTCCGATTATGCCGGGGTATGACTTCGATATTCAATGCGCGCGCACCACCGACTTCGGCCAGCCCGCCGCATTATCTCGCCTGATTAGCAACCAGCCGACACCCGAAGAAGACACGGTCAGCAGGTTGCTTCAATACCGGCGCACCACCGACTTCGGCCAGCCCGCCGCATTATCTCGCCTGATTAGCAACCAGCCGACACCCGAAGAAGACACGGTCATTGCGCAGGTTGCTTTCGCGGACTCAGCCGATCCCCAGTTGGTCCAGTCCGTTTGGGCACTACCCATGACGGTGCCAGAGGTTCAAAAAGCTACCACGGTTGATCCAACTCTTCAAAAGGCAATCCAATTCATGAATTCGCGATGGCCCTCGAACCGCAAAGATGATTGCCTCCGACAGCTCCTCCATCGCCGAGATGCTTTGGCAATCGTAAACAATGGTCTAATGTTTGGAGATTGCGTAGTGATTCACAAAGCCCTACGCCATCGAGCTCTCCGTCTGTTTCATTCGGGACATCCCGGATTAAACCGAATGAAGTCACTCGCCGGTAGTTACGCTTACTGGCCACGCATGGATCGCGACATCTCTGACTACGACAGAGACTGCTCAAAGTGTCAACAGGCCGCGAAGAACCCTCCACGCCTTCCGCCAGCTGCTCGGCCTCGACCCGAACGCCCTTGGTGCCGGGTGCATATCGACTACGCTGGCCCAATTAATGGAGTGACATACCTCATCCTGATTGATGCCTTCTCCAAATGGCCAGAAGTTGTGCCTGTCGTCTCACCAACGACAACCAACACTATACGGGCATTGTCACAGCTCGTCAGCCAACTCGGCCTACCGGAGACTGGAATCCGACAACGGATCACAATTCTGCTCAAGCTGTTTCCAAGAGTTCTGCCGGGAAAACGCCATCACGCACGTCCGTTCGCCTCCATACCACCCGCAGTCCAACGGGCAGGCGGAACGTTTCGTCGATACGTTCAAGCGGGCGCTGCTCAACTCTCGAGGGAAGGGGACACCCGTCGAAGTTCTCCGGAGATTTCTTTTGGTTTATCGAACCACTCCAAATAGATCTCTAGAAGATCGTATGTCACTCACCGAAGTTCTCATGGGCCGGAAATTGCGAACTGCCAATTCGGCCATGTATCCGGCACCGATGGTTCGTTCCCGACTTGACGTGAACACAAAACCGGCCCAGTTCCAAGTAGGTGAAGGCGGTATTGCCCGAGACTACCGACCAAGGCACGAACGCTGGATCGTGGGACACGTGCTACGAAAACGCGGCAACGTAATGTACGACGTCTCTGTGGGCCAAGACATCTGGATTCGACACAGGAATCAACTGCGTCCATGCCATCTCTCAGAGCGACCGGCACCCGAGAACGAACTCGCGTTCGACTTACTTCTTGACACCTTTGAACTGAAGGCCGCCACACCTGATGCAGCGCAGCCGGTAACACAGAACGCAGCAGCCAGTGAGCCAAAGCTTCTACCCAGAAGATGGACAGATCGCCGTTGACGTCAAACCACTCTTTTTCAAAAGGACGCCCGAAAAACCCGTTATTGACATTTTTTCCACAAGGGGAGGTGTTGGGGATGTTAGTATCCCCAAAAACGCTTATTTTCCGAGTTATTGCCAATTTATTTTCAAAAATTTTCGAATTTTTGAATTTCACGCCTTTTCCGCCATGTTGCGGCTCAATCCATAAAGACCGCGCTCTTTCCCTATTGGTCAGTTATACTTTGTGTTCATTAACTGCCTTATCGCTCCCCAAGGTCGCTCGNCTGTGTATACTGTGTGGATTCATTAATACCAGTCCGTATATCTGCACATTTCAGAACTGACGTGTGCCGTCCTCTCGAACGTCGAATACCGCTGACTTCCTGACGTCCCACGCTACAATATATACGACGTTGCTCTCACTGTAATTCGCCTTTGGTTGAGGCAGTAAAGGCCCTCTTCCGAAGGTCTGGCCTTCCTCTCTGTCTGCGCTAGGAGTGGTTGTGCTCGCGTCATAGCTGGGGAGCTGTGCGCTCGTTCTCGGGTCGCGTCCGTTGGTTGATCGTACCAGATTCCGATACATATCAGAGAGGCACTCGAATTCGTGGAGCAATTTTCTTATTTTGGAAGTTGTGTTCGTCTTCATTACAGTGTGACGGCGCACGAATCTCCGAGGCTCAGTTGCCTTCGCCAACTTGGGACAAATCGACAAATGGAGATATGTGTACCAGTCACAGTATGGACTTTTTTGTTGCATGGCTGTGAGCCTCTTTGAGCAGCGATATTCAGACTTATTCAGGTTTTCGTCATCCGTAGCTAGCACATGCTGTTGTCAGCGAATCCACCACGAGAGAATTAGAAGGTGATTGCTCGTTTGTGTAGCAGTAACTTCAAACCAAGTATATGTCCAGCAGCGGAATCTGCAATTGTTTGGTCATGTACTGAGCAGACCAAGTCATATTGGAACAAAAATGATGCTCTTTTTAACGTGGACAGTTCAGAGCAACGTAGGCGAGCATGTAGTCAATCTTGGACTTGACAGAGGGAACTGAGGTCGCTTACAAAAATGTCGGGTAATAGTGGTGCAAGTGGCCTTCCGTGGGATCCTTGCAGTGCAGGGTTGGCAAAGCTGCCTGATATGACTACCCGTGAATCTCACTGGCGTTTTTGATCGCCAGCTTTATTCCAGGTGAATCAATGAGTGTATGATGACGTAGATATCTCGGAAAGGTTCAGTCGGCTTGCGCAATGCCGATGCCGTATCTACTTTATTTTTTTCTTCACAACACAGCATTCATCTTGATTAGGTTTGTAAGGCACCGAAGCATGAATTTTGAACAATACTGTTATGCTATTGTTGATCATGATGGTGATTTGATCGATGCCATAAGCCTACTAGCGATCAAAGAGTAAATCGAATGGAGGGGTGGGGAACCACTTTCACGAGTTTTTCAGAGCGTTTCATTACCCTAACTTTCAAAGATTTTCTTACGAATCCCTCTCCCCTGAATTTCAACACTCAAGCTTTCGTCCAGGCAAGTTCCGCGAAATGTGGAAAATCGTTACAATGCAATAATGTTCACATCTGGCGGAAAGTTTTGCAGTTAATGCGAGGCCATGAACTTTCATGCTTTCTTCACTGTGCAAAAGAGATCTGTAGCAAACCTATTGTAGGCAGAGGACACACTGTCATGACAAACAGTACTAATCACAATGAGGCGTTGAGTTTATCTGTGGTGCCTGTCAAATTTCGGATTTCCGGACATTGAGCGTAGATCTTCAGGGGCACGTATAGTTAAACTACGCTTTTTGGTTTAACGAGAAGTGCGTGCTCATTTGCCGAAATACTCATCTCTAGTATATCTCCAGACAAACTCCAGGTGAATGTAAAATTGAATGTAGTTAGGAAAGAAGACTTAAACTTCATTGCGAATTTGAATCCATTTGAATTCTTATTCCGATAAATAGGCTATAAGCCGGTTCTAACGCCCTTCACAAAGGTCTGCAGTTTGGATACCAGTGTTTACTCAAAAGGATTGTTTAGTTAACGGTGCCTTTTACAACTTTGTAAGTTTGTTGGACGACACGTGGCAGCGGAAAGTCATGGAGGGTGGTTCATGCAATGTCGCCAGATCAGGGGGACACATGTTCAAGCGGGAATGATGTGAGCGTGACCTTGAAGCGTTTTCGCAGTATTACTGGGACTATTGCGGAACATGTTAGTAGGTGCCACATTCGAGGTTCTAAAGATCTAAGTTGCCATGCACAATGTTCAACTATAAAGCATATTCTGTGTTAGGATCCAATGCAAGTGAACGGGGGCGAGAATTTTGCAGGTAGTTTCACACACACACACACACAGGTACGAGCGTGTTGCTTGTGAAACAAACAGGAACAAAGTCCATTGGTTGATTTAATTCTACGCTGCTTCACATTTTCGACTCAATCTGGTAAGCGAGGCTGTGCAACATCGGCTTGTTCACATGATTTGAGGTCCATTTAGAGCGTACAATTGATCCATGACTACCGAAAAACCAGAGTATTGGTAAAATTTATAACCGTCGTCATCCTCCCATGGGGTAACCTTTAACACACTTTCTCTTTTTAGCATCTTTTCAGCTCGTTTCGTCGAAAAGCCTCAAAATATGATGACATTTTATGAGGTAGCCGGCGTTGTTGCCACCACTGGGATTATCTACAAAGTCTTCTACCCATTTCTTCGAGTACTGTTCTATTTTACCATCGGCAAACGCATTTTCTCAAAACGGAATCTGTTACCGAAATTCGGGGAATGGGCAATCATTACGGGTGGTGCGGACGGGATCGGCAAAGCGTTCGCCCAGGAACTAGCCAGCGATGGACTGAATATATTCATCCTGGGACGTACGGAGGAGAAACTGAAGTCGGTCGCTTCGGACCTGGAAAGAACTTATCGGGTCCAAGCCAAATATCTTACTGTAGACTTTACGAGAGTAAGTGGCCTGATGTTTCAATTGAAATTTATATGATCTTAGGGAGCTATCATTCCCACTAACAAAGAAAAGTGTGAACACTCTGAAATGAGGTTTTTGGAATTGGCTCTTCGATTTTCGTGGCGGAAATTTTGTGTAGCACAGATTGTGGACAACAGGAACCTCGGACTCTGCCGGAGCTCATTGAGCTGTCTGGGGAGCACTTCAAACGGGCGTCTGAAGCCTCCAGGATCAGAGCACATCACAGCAATCGTAGTACACCCCCGCATGTCATTGGCATATAGACGAGAATTGCTGGGTGGTCTCGATAAAAACTTTGTCAGGTTCGGCAATCATCTCACCAAAGCCTACAGTGTAGCTTGATTGGGCAAAACGGTATAGAACTTCGGCTCACATCTTGGTGACTTTGTTTATGGGAAATACTCTGACACTTCTTCTTTCTTCGGAATTGGACGACGTCCTCGTGGTGCGGACGGGGTATCCGAGACACCTCTAGGAGTTAGAAACCACGCAGGTCCGCGTCGTCGGAGTCACGTAGCCCTTTCAGAGTTCAGCTCTAGTGAGCAGTTGGTTGTAGTGAACATTGCCTGAAGACTGTGCAGTAACCAATTTTATGTCCCACAATGGTCAAGCTTTGTGAATCGTGAGCAATGCGGTTCACTGGTATGGCAGAGTTTAAGCAGGTCTTTAACGAACAGGTGAAGCAGGATACTCATCGGTAAATTGCAAGTACAAGGCAGAAATCGCTTAGGTCTCACGTTTTCATAAAATAGTCAATCATATACATTATCTGATATAAAGGTTGGCAGAAAGTTTAGTCGTGCGGAGAGATGGTTGCAAGCCAACAGCCTGGTGACATTGTAAGCAAATAAGCGAGTAGTGAAGCGGTTAGTCTGTACCTTTCCGCGGGGAATTCAGGTGGATCATTTGGAATCCACAAACATGCGATTGAAATGACTACACACAATTTGGCTCAGAAGACATTTAGTGAGTTCTATTGAGAATGACCCCTTGGGGACAGCCTTTAGTTGACAAAAACAATGCACACAAATCCAACACTTTTTGCAAAATTGTGATCCTCAATGCTGGGTGTCTCCAAAGACATATCGAGCACGTTAAATGCGGTCACCCACAGTTAGCCTCGTCAGTTCCCTCGTTAAGCTGAACTTGGGAGACACAGTCTAATAGTCCTGGAAGATGAGAAGCTACCCCTTGGTTCTGTGTTCCCCACTTAGAAAACATCCGCGGTTTTTCCATTGGGTTTCCAAACCCGCTATCTTTGAGCCGGGCGGCTGAGCACACCATAGGCAATGTTGTTCATCGCCGTTCTAAAGTACAACACATTGTTCACACCCCGTGATTTTTTCTGATTAGCTTTTCCAATGACGATATGATATGATGAGATGATAACACAGCTTTCACGAGATGGTTTCCTTCGAACCAAATTAATATTAAAATCAACTGAAACTATATTGCTGTTATTTACTAATTGTTTTCTTTCCATTCTCATTTAGTTTAGAGAGATCATTTCTTGGATTGGACTGCCGTTTTAATACTTATTTTCCAACTTTATCTCCGCTTTGTTCAGCATGACATCTATGAGCGTATCGAGGATGGAATTCGTAAATTATCTTCAATCGCCTGTCTAGTCAACAACGTCGGTATGATCAATCAACATTGGGAAGAATTCGGTTTGGAGCCGACCCTCACCACCGCAAAGATCCAAAGAATGATCACATGTAATTCGATTTCCACAGCGTGTATGACGCGCGTCTTGCTGCCCCGTATGCTGTCCCAAACTACCGGTTCAGCCATTATCAATATTTCTTCAGCCTCCTCACAGCTGCCACTACCATACCATGTTCTCTATGCCTCAACCAAAGCGTTTGTTACCCAATTCAGTGATTGTCTGGAGGCAGAATTGGAAAGGAGCTCCGTTATTGTGCAGTGCTACTGTCCGATGTATGTCAAGTCTAACATGTTCGATGTCAAGCATTGCTTCACAATCCCCGATACTCGGACGTTTGCACGCAGTGCCTTGGATATGTTTGGAGTCGAACGCCATACTACGGGCTATTTCGCCCACAGTCTGCAAACCGCTCTTTATACACTGGCTCCACGTCCGGGCGTGACTTACACGATCCACATGGACTATCTGTGGAATCACAAGAGGAATCGATAACTCGCTATTAGTGGACTGTGATGTGCGGAACCGGTATATCCGACATCATTACTTCCTCCTATTCTCCTTCTATGTCGATTTGACTGCCCGAATTTGATATATTAAGCGTTGTTCACTGGGTGCCAGTTTGTTTTCGACTATTCAGGACAACTTGATGGCGTCCTTGGCTGTTCCAACTTGATCCTCACGTGAATGTTTTACTGCTCTGTTTGGCATTTTGAACTGATGCCTGCCACAGAATGCTATGTGGTACGCCTGGCTCTTAACCACAAAATTTTGACCAAGTTTCCCCATCGGATCCGATTGTGTAATAGAAGCTAACCGCAACAAAACTGTTGTACAGTGCCAGAGGCGGACTAGAGCCGTTTGTCTGCTGTCATACCAAACGAGCTATTTGATATATTTATAGGTGTCAATAATTGTAAATTCCTAACGTCTGGGCTTGGTATGTGGAGACATAATGGGTCAATTATCTGTATAATCGCTGACTGCAAATTCCTAGAACCCTCTCGCAATTCACACCCATTCTCACCATTTCCTGGAACCCCCCACTTATTCACTCATAACCGTTCACGCATTATTCGCTTGCCCAAATCACACCAGCTGTTGGGATTGGTGGCGTGACGACATTGGCCTGGGCGTTCAACCAAATGCTCTCTTTTGTGTTTCACCTTCGTCCATGTCCATCTCAATGGCTTGTCCAGCCACAGATCTAGGGTCTGATACGCGAACAGCGGACAGCACCGCTGCTGACTTTTCTTGGATATGTGATAAGTTGGAGTTCCACCAATCTCCCATTTAACAGTACTGCGTTAGACGGAATATTACAAGTGTTGTGTTCTATGGCGCGTCACTCAACTTCCACTTCTAGGACTTCTACTTAAACTGAGAAATTATCAACTGATCACCCGTTATTCGCTTCTGTTTTGATCATTCAGTTTACTCACAGTTATGAGTCTCCATCGGAATCTGCAAGTGGCCAACGTTTTCTACAACAAGAGACCGAGCTAGTATAAATGAAGAAAGGTTCGAGGAGGGTGCGGAATATGTATTTGGTCATATCGAAGAACTTTGGTCGAGCATCCGTTGTTGAGCCTTAGTGGACAAATACGTTCATTTTACCCACCAGGCTTTGCAGTGCACATTGTGTTTCGTAGTTTGTCATGCTACTGGATCGATTCGCAGTATTAGATCGTGTCTTGAATGAAATATGCGAACTAGTTTCACGTCACATCCATGCCTGATTCACATGTATGTTCCTGCAATAAAATCTCGTTCTCCGTTTTCCCTCCACTTCTAACGAGGTCCTCCTTATGACTTTCAAAAGAATACTACACGTCGGCTCAAGGTATTTCCCACCACCAAAGACCCTACTTTTGAAGCGAGAGGAAGTCGTAAAAAGATAACGGATTCGGGAATTCTATTTGTAAGCCAGATATGGACATCTGAAGTGCTGTTTCACAAGATTAGCATCAGTATGTTTTTCTTGACTTATAGCTGATGTCACGTGATGGAATTAGTAAGGTGACTGTTCTGAAAACACACACTTAATAAGCCTGGTGGCACAGAAGGCTTAAGTGTCAGCTGTTTAATAGGTGGATGTTGTTATTTAATGCATATTTAACCAAGTCGATTCTGTTCAAATGAAAATGAGGCGGTCCCAAAAATGATGGTCACGAAATGACCATAAGACGACCGCAGCCGGGCAGAGCATGGATTTGCAGTCTTTAGGAATCGATAAGAGCTCTTGGTCATTTCTTACTTTCTCGGACGGTTGAATGGACTCGGATAACTGAGAATGAACCATTAATTACTGGTTATATGGTGAATGTTTCATGGTGAGGTAATGGATGTAGGAAAAATAACTATGAACTACCCGCAGACAGCTATTTAGTAGGTGGCAGCTAAGCTCCGAAAGGGTGTCACAGCGGAACAATTACCAGTGAAGTAGCCTTACGGTATTGGAGGATTCCGCTCGGTTTCTCGTTCATAATATCCTCCAACTGAATTTCGTGGCCTGACTCTTGTTTCAGTTGGAACACTGGCCGACATATTAAAGTTATTAGAGCACAGGTTATGATAACCATTATACAATTCAGAAGGTGTATGCACTAATAACAATCTTTGCCATGGTTGACAGTAGTTTACCGTAGCGCGTTGCACCATGTATAAAATAAATGCAATGTGAACTGTGGAACAAGTCAAAAGAGAAACTTATCGCCTGTGAGAGTCCCTTGATGAAATTGCGGGCGACAGGAACGCGTTTTCTTCGCAGTATAGCTGATACAGGTGTCCCGTAATGGTCTGTGGACTTGAATTGTTTGGCCGACCCGCTGTGAGTGCGAGTATGTGTGTGTTGACTGTGTTGGACGTGTTCTGTCCTTATATATGTCGGGCGGAACATAAAAACACTAGCGTGAAATCGTATTGCGTCCTTAACGAGTCCAGGGAATCTGTTGCTGACGAAAGGTCGTATTCATTGTCACGATGTTGACGCGTGATTGTCAGGCAGATATAACAAATGGGGATCGTCGGTGCAGGTGTGAAATTGCTTGGAAGGGCACCCGTTACAAAGTGTACTCCAATACTACTGATCGGTCGATGACAACTCGTCTAGCTTACACCGGTCTCGACTCTCTTAAACTCCATAAAGTTGGCCCAGTCCATTCAGTGAATTTAGCTGAGGAGTACGCAACCTTGAAAATAAACATAGTAGCTCTTCTCACGTATCGCGAATCCTGTCTTATTTCCAGCAAAGTACATGGTGAAAATAGGTCGGTGATTATCCTGCATAAACCTAAGTTACATCATCTGTCCGCATAGCATGTGTCTCACGAACGTACAACAATAGAGCTCTTACTGTGGTCTGGTAAACACGATTTTGACGCCAACGGCAACGCAAATTGGCAAAAAAGTTCCGTGCACTGACCACAGACACCCAATCGTTATAGCTATCGCAACTACCGAGGCATGCGAAATTCTCCACAATCTGATGTGCTCATTGAATTGCAAGAGGCATCTTCAGATACTGCACATTTTGGAGTATGATCATGCATTCTTCCAGGTGCAAGGCGTACACTGAAAAATGACATTCTGGTGGTCAGTTTATTCAACAGTGCTTCTGGTTGGCCTTCACTGTTGAAGATGGGGATCGATAAAATTATTACCAGTACCAATTTAAATACCTGGTTTTGAACATTCTCCGGAGTTCGTTTCATTATTCCGTTACTGACGATGTTGAACAAGAACAGATAAAGTGGCCATACTTACCGGACACCACTTTTTGTGGGAAGCCTTTGGAGAGTTTCCCGTACAGCCTTACGCAACAAGAGATATGTGAATATAAGCACAGCCGCATCCCCTGTTGAGCATGCGTAGTTAGGGGCCCTGACCGATCGCACCCGTGATGTCAAGCTCGTCTTTACATATGGCATTGAATCAATTGGTCAGCGATGACGCGATGTATAAGGGGGACTCAGGGTGTGTTTCACCTAACGAGTTTGGTAGCTTGTTCCATTCACAGTGATGCCTCGGACTGAGAACTAGTGAGATAATTCGACTATAGGCCGCTGTGGGTGCTCGGTCGTTACATCAAAATCATGTGATTGTTTGCGCGTCTAGGATGACTGAACACCCTAGGTCCTGCTCCCTAGTTGCGATGATACCCTGTACATACTTCGGGGTTGGGGTAAGTGAAATGGTTAACCGACTCACAAGGGGTGTCGATGTGGCAGTGAACATAGTCTAGGGAAATAACCGTGGGTGTTTGACTGCTGGTGGAGGCGAATGAATTGATGCGTAGGTCTGGATAGGTAGGCCTGCATAAATCCCAGAATCTTTTGAAAAGAACCACACAAACACCTGTGTTGTTTACGTCAAAGTAGCAGATCGTCATCCGTTCCATATTTATTTCTTGATAGTGATTGAACAGATTATGTTCATATGAACACAGAAATTATGGTTCCCACCGATTTCGGTTGATCTCAACTGAGACACGGATCTTTAGTTACTAGACAGTACACTATCAAAGTTGATTATTTAAGTGCAGTTGCCACTGGCAACGCAGGGATCGCTCCAGCCCTGTCACATATGCGTGCCGATGCCGCTCGACCATGTATACATTGGCGCGAAACAAAATGGCCGGGACAAATTTCGATGAATACAAGCGATTGTCCGAAGGATAGTATCACTTCTTATTGCGCGGTATAAAGTATACCTTCTGAGGTGCGTTGAGCATTGGTGACCATTATGACCATTGTGCATTGTGACCATTGTTGGATTCTGCATTCGGCATATCAGTGTTCCAGATTCTTTGCAAAAGTTGCATAAATGTACACAACCATCCTATGGCAATGCCCTGGGTTGATCTTACATTAACCCGCTCGCAATAAGCCTGCGGAGGCACGCTTTCGAATCCGGAGTGACGGGGAGCATTTTCATATACGAAAAAACCGACTCTCACAGCAACTTCTGGATCCATTACTTGCTACGTCTTTTCACTGTGATATCCGTATGTCGGTGCAACGGCAGATAGGGCATGCGAGTAGTATGTGGTTTACTCATAGCACCGCCTCGCATAGAAGGCGGGGTTTATGACGGAAATTGTGGAACTGATGACGGTCGATGAATACCCACGAACTTTCAAGTAGATGCGTGAGAATGGTCAGTTTTTAAAAGCAAGACTCACAGGCGAAGTTTATGTTCCTGTGCGATTGTTTGTAAATGTTTATTTGGTGTTTGATTACGAACACCCATTTGGTGAAGGGCTTTTCTCTTTACATTTGATGACGCCGCCAGGATACGCATGAGGATTCAATGGCCACAGCCTTTTGAGAAATGGGATGTGCGGAATTTCCTGGGGGAGGGGATTTCGAGGATGTTACGGAGGCGGCTGGGCTGGAGACCGGCAGGGGTAAGTTGGCGGCACTGAAGACCCTTCTCAGAGACCAGGCTAAGGCGGCCCTGGATGCGGCCAGAAAGAGAAGTGAGAAGATGGAC